TGGTAAATGGTTTACTGACCATGGTATTACTGTGCTCAATTGGCCTGCCAACTCTCCTGACCTGAACCCCATAGAGAACCTGTGGGATATTGTGAAGAGAAAGTTGAGAGACGCAAGACCCAACACTCTGGATGAGCTTAAGGCCGCTATCAAAGCATCCTGGGCCTCCATAACACCTCAGCAGTGCCACAGGCTGATTGCCTCCATGCCACGCCGCATTGAAGCAGTCATTCATGCAAAAGGATTCCCGACCAAGTATTGAGTGCATAACTGAACATGATTATTTGAAGGTTGGTGTTTTTTGTATTAAAAACACTTGTCTTTCATTGGTGGGATGAAATATGCTAATTTTTTGGGACAGGCATTTTGGGTTTTCATGAGCTGTATGCCATAATCATCAGTATTAAAACAATTAAAGACCTGAAATATTTCAGTTGGTGTGCAATGAATCTGAAATATATGAAAGTTTCATTTTTATCATTACATTATGGAAAATAATGACCTTTATCACAATATGCTAATTTTTTGAGAAGGACCTGTATATGTAAACCAGTTTTTACCACATTCCCTTTCAGATTTGAAGACCACATAAAATGAAGAAGTCTGTCTGGAAGTAAATCTTTTGGGAAGATGAAACAGGTCCAGGTTCATTTGAACCAGTCCATAGTGTTGTCCTGATGCTCAGTGATCCAGGTAGATGCATCTACCAAGGTTGTACATATTATTCACTATCAAGTGTTCACTGTAAACTTCTTGAAGACATGGAAACACGAGCTGCCACACCACATTTGATTTTAATATTTAGCATGTCAAGTTTACAAGACCTGTTTTGACTGTCAGTTGAAAAATAAAAATTATATAATCTGTAGTTTTGATCATCACAAAAAAGTAATTCCCTGAAATGTTTGAATGTATTCACCTCAGAAGACCAAACAACTTGCCTGCACTAATGAAGGGTGATGCTGAGACCTGACCTGCAGTAAATAGACCAGGTCTGGCTCACAAATTGGTTCTGATGCTCCAGATGTCGGTTCCAGTTCATGTCCAGAACTGAGAGCGTCTTCTCACACAGGGACGTGGAGACAAGCTCAGCAAACAATTGAATCTCTGGGAAGCTGCCTTTATCCAGCTGGTGGTAAAACTTGACCAGACTCTTATTATTAGTAGCATTAGTATTAGTATTAGTATAATTATTATTGGTGGGGCAGTGCCCCACTGTCAACTTTTCTTGTTTTAAATTCGCCCTTTCTAAAATGGTCTGGAAAGGATCACACTGCCATCTTCAGGTGAAACATATGTATGTATTTAGAACTACAGTAGTCCATGGTACTGGTGAAATGTATGTATGTATTTAGAACTACAGTAGTCCATGGTACTGGTGAAA